TAAAACGGAACTTGTATTGTTTACAACCAAATACAAAATCCCGTCCCTCAACCCCCCAATACTAAACGGATGTAGGCTCTCCTTCAGCGACAGTGCCAGTTACTTAGGGTTGATAATTGACAAAAAACTTAGCTGGAACCTGAGCATCAAAGACAGAGTGAAGAAGGCTACGATAGCACTCTATACTTGCAAGAAAGCCATTGGGCTAAAATGGGGCATGAACCCAAGAATAGTCCAATGGATTTACCTGGCAATAGTCAGACCAATACTACTCTACGGAGTCGCAGTGTGGTGGCCTGCCCTATCGAAGGGGACCATCACTAAACAACTGGGCAAGGTGCAGCGCACTGCAGCCCTATGCATCAGTGGAGCTCTAAGCACAACACCAACGGATGCGCTAAATGCTATCCTATGCTTGCAGAGCCTTGACCTTGCAGGTAAGGAGCAGGCAGAAATGGCAGCAATCCGTCTTAGAGACTCTGACCAATGGGTGTCACATCACACCGGTCATGCGTCCATCCTAAATGGAAACAAAATCGTCCCCTCAAAAACGGACTACTGCGTTCCGAGGGAGTATACAGATACCCCCTTCGAGACAATCATCCCTCACAGAAACATCTGGCTTGAGGGACCACCTGGTCCAAAGGGAGCCATTCGAATCTTTACTGATGGCTCAAAGCTGGACAACAAGGTCGGAGGAGGAATCTACTCCGAACAGCTGAATATAAGACAGTCCTTCAGGCTCCCGGATCACTGCAGTGTCTTCCAAGCAGAAGTCATAGCGATCAAGGAGGCCTTGAGCTGTCTTCAGGAAATAGCCCCTGCGGCAACTCATATAAATATCTATAGTGATAGCCAAGCTGCGATCAAATCGCTGAATGCGATAACATCAAGCTCGGCCACCGTGGCAAACTGTCGCAAATCTCTTCATGAGATGGCTTATCAGTTCGTCATCAGCCTAATATGGGTCCCGGGTCACCAGGACATTGAAGGCAACTGCATAGCGTACGAGCTGGCCAGAGCTGGCACAACAATCCCCCTTCTCCATGATAAGGAGGATATTCGTATGCCAATGGCCACCTGCAAGCTCAAAATAAAAGAACATTTTAAGCGATTAATAAATGACAGATGGCAAACCGTGTCACTATGTCGTATAACTCGGCAAACATGGCCTAACATCAATAGGAAGCGCACCGATGAGCTTTGCAAACTCAGTAGGAGTAGGTGCAGCTCAGTCATACGCTCCCTCACGGGACACTGGCTAATAGGCACACATGCAAGTAGGCTGGGCGCCCCATATAACGACTTCTGTCGAAGCTGCAGAGATGAGGACGAGGAGGAGACTGTGGAACACCTGTTCTGCTCCTGTCCGGCTCTCAGTAGAAGGAGACTGCAATACTTGGGCGCTCCTTTTCTAATTGACATTTCGGACATGTCTACAATCAGTCCCAGACGGATCGCAGGCTTCATAACGGCGTCCGGATGGGATAATGGATAACATAGGGTCTCACGAGGGAGAAGGGAACGTAATATGCGGTATCACAACGGGCCGAAACCGGCCTAGGTGTGTCGGGTCTCTGACAATCCCGACAGCCGCTTCAACCTAACCTAACCTAACCTAGGGGCAAGCCGGAATTTGGCCAGCCGAATCGGGCCCCACGTTGGGCGCCATTATTTCTTTATTTATTCTATTTAATATATCTATATATGTATCTGTAACATATAATGGTGAGAGGGGCTGCTCAAATAACTGAGCGGGGTACGCGATGGCTTCCGGCTTTTCTCTGGTCGGCTGGGGTGGGTTTTGAGGAAGAGGCCGTCAGTTATTGTTCTCACTTGGTGCAAATAAACAAGAAACTAAATTCGCGTACGAAAGGAGGGGAACGGGAAAGGAAGACTACAGTACAGCAAACCAACACTAACGGAAGAGATACATCAAAGAAAAGGGGGAATAGCGGTCAGGCGATGCTCGATCTTGGGCTGCATGTGCTCAGCGGCACGGACGCCCACCCTACCATGATCCCCTATAAGCCAGCTGGTCGCCCGGGATCCCTCCCAAAATCGTACAGGCATCAGGCTGCGGCATTCGGGACAGGCATGGGTCCAACAAAAAAAGGGATTTAATTCATTTTACTAATGCTATTTTTATTAACTAAATTAACTTTCACCATGGTACTTCAGGTTCTACCCATGTAGTTATCTAGACATATCTATTCTTCATCATAGTACAGCTGTCGAAAATTCACTAACGTGCGGGAGAGTAATAGGGGAGCAACTGTAACGATTAACGAAGAGAATCCTCGGGCAATGAAGCCGGTGGTCGACAATGTTGGAAGGAGTACGCGCTTGCTCCTACGGCTCGTCTCTGGTCGGCTATGGGTATGGGTTCTTGTGGAGGAACCTTCCAATTGTGTGCTTCGTTCCTGCAGTTTACTATTCTATTAACTTCGCGTACTGCGTTTACGGTATAGGGAGGGCGGAGGAAAGGCAGGGGAAGGAATGGTAGGGAGCCGGTGCACGGGCTATTATATAAAAGAGAAAAATAGGATAGAAAAAGAAGGGAGAGGGTTCTACCTACGCTTCGGACAACTCTGCTGGCACTGAGTTGTGCCACGCCCACCCTACCATGATCCTGATGAGCCGAGGTAACTAATATCAGGATCCCTGGAGTGTCCGGTGTCGGCTATCCTTCTTCGCTCCACGGCAGCATGGTTCCCCAACTGGCGTACCTTTTAGCACATAGTTAAATTAACAAACAATTTATTAACAGCTAACTCCATTATCATTCAGGCAAACTAAAGCGTAAGCTAACAGGGAATAAGAACAACACAACTGGGGGCTAGCATAGGGTCTCGGTCGAGAGGTATATATATACTTAAGATATTTATATAAATATAAAGATATAGGTATAACTAGTTGTGATTACAAACACTTCGATATAGTGCGATATAAATTAATTATTTTTCCCTAAATAGAAAACATAAAATTATAGGGCATTATACGGTCGTAAGTCGAACGACTTCCGCCAACAGCATCGGGCATCAGATATTAGTGCATGCAAGCAGTCAAATCAGCTGTGGTTAATTTAAAAGTTTGAGGTCAACGACCCACGAACAGCGCTAGCAAAAGGGAAGCTTTTGGCAGCGATCGCGGAGTTGGCATATGCAGATAAATGTAATAGGGAAAGCTCACTTACAGTGTGTTGGCTTGGTTGCTCCCGCGCCGAAAGATCTTTTGTAGCTGGGGTGCCTCTGTGTTAGTGAGATTATGACGCTTTTATCTGAAAAACCAAAAAAAACCAATCTGCGCACCTGGTGCTGCCTGGCAATAACTCACTGTTAGGAAACTGTCGCGTGGACGCTTTAAAGCTCGAACTTTTAAAGCCACTTTCAAAATAATTAGAACAATGTTTGTTTTTCTTTTCGTTCGTTTTGGGTTTGACTTTACATTATAATGGCTTTGTCCACTTGTCTTACCCAAAAGAACCAACAAAAATTACTGCGCGGGTCCAAGGAATTCAGGCCGCGATATACACTAAATCTGCCTCCGATGGTGTCGACGAACTATATGTATGTGTGCGCCTCTCGTTGGAGCTGCTTTCACAAGTTAGCCTACCCTAGCAACTATCACACAAACCGACATAACGTAAAACACAAATTATTACTGACTAAACCGTTAACTTGTTTAATTCAAGGCCGAATCGTCCGGCAGGTCATTGCAGGCGGCTGTGCAACAGAGGCTTTAGCATAGGCCGGTATCACTAAGGTATCGCCGTGAGGTTAGGTTCGCACGTGGCCCAAGGGGGCCTCCTTACATGAAAATTTTCGAGGCTTAGGACTTAACCTGATCACCACGGACTATTCTGAACGCCTATTCTCTTGACCAGGTTCAAAAACACCTAACGGCTAACACGCCAATTCGCCGAGCTACGTTAGAGCAGACGGCTGTCTTCGGCACGCACAGCAAAAGTTCACTGCTCGCACATCTGTGGATCAGCTGGTTGTTGGTGCGGGCTTAAAGCTTTGGTTCCACCTGTTTTCCTTTTGCTGCGATATGGCCGGTTTAAAAGGCGTTTATTTAAACTCTCAACTGGGTGCCGATTCGCTTGGAAATGGCACCGCATAGAACAAATTTGAAGGGATTTCCTCTCTTTCTCCAGGGGCTGCGAAACACAAGTGTACCCACAGGCACCTATATGGGTGTGTGGACAGGTGCGCGGACCAGTACTATAGCGATTTTCCAATTTACGAATATTTTATTGTATTTTTGTCAGCTACTTGGTGCTGATCTACGACTTGACTCTTGGGCCGCCACGAGGAGAAAAGAATTACTAAGCTAGGCTACCGACTGTGCAAAATTCGGGTTCTCCGGATCTTCCTTTGACCCGATCCTTCGCCATTCACCCTGAGCGGTTGATTACAGTGTGGGGACTGTCTTTGCGTTTTAGCCCCATTCGTAGCATCTCCCATAGATGGCGCTACCTCTACATGACATGTAACTTATGATACCTACTTATAATACCGGTACCTGGCTAATAGCCCGAAACCGATATTGCCTACTTTCAGGCACTATCAAAACGACTTCCTACAAGCGCTCACTACAAATCCCCCCCGCCAAGATCACACTTTGGTGTTAATAACATCAAAGGGTGATAGCCGCTTGGAGGACTAGCTATAACAGGTTTTAGGGTAGCTACTGTTTTATGTCCTTTGCGTGGTATTTGCCTATCAATCTACCCTGAAGATCTTCTAGTTCGTAGTAACTGGGCCCAGCCTACGTTTTATTCTTGCTTTTACAAAGGTATGAGCTAATTTAGAGCTAAAACCTTTAATGAAGCTACTCTGCTGAAAGTTGCGCCGATAAACTTCTTGGCCAACGTTGAAAGATACTTCACGACTTCGAAGATTGTACTGCTTTTCATTTCGTTGGTGCTGGTGTTGAATCGTTCGTTGTGCTGTTTTTCGAATCACATCAAACGAATCTTCCCGACAAAAACTCACTGTGCGATCTTCTAATAGCTGTAAATTTCGTAAGAGCGGATATGTATCTCCATTGGTGATCATGTGTTGCCCAAATGCAACACGATAGGGGCTGTCGTTAACTGCCGAATGGACACTGGATCGGAGCGCACAACATATAGGGCTAAGCTGCTCATCCCAATTGGATTGGTCTGGCTTGATATAGGCTTTAATGGCAGCAATCACGGATCGGTTTACGCGTTCCGATGCATTGGCTTGAGGTGCGTATACAGCCGTATAAAAATGTTGCACGTTGTACTTTTTTAACAATGCATTGAAGTGGTGGGACTTGAATTGTACTCCATTGTCAGATACAATTACTTCGGGTACCCCGAAACAATGAAATATGTCATCTTCCATAAACCGAGTGACTGCATCTGCTGTAAATTTCTTCACAGGCTTTAAAAACGGATATTTTGACAGATGGTCCAAAACCACAAATATACCAATATGTCCCGATTTACTTCTGGGATATGGACCCAAGAAGTCTACAAACAACTTTTGAAACACTCGTTGCGTTTCCTTTACTGGAGCTAATGGAGGTCGTAGTGAACGATTGGGATGTTTGGTACACTTGCAAATGGAGCAGCCGTTTATGAACGCTCTCACATCCGTGGCTAGATTTGGCCAATAGTAGTATCGTCGAATTTTCTCCAACGTTTTATTAATACCACTATGAGCTGATAAGGCAGGTTCGTGATGCTGCTTCAGTACTTCTGAAACCAACTCCTTTGGAATCCATAGCTTCCAGCACGAGTCATCCGCGATTTGCTCCCCAGCGGCATGTTCTGCTCGCCTGTATATCAACTTATCAATAATCCTAATGTCTGGCATCTGAGTCTGATTGGATTCAATCTTGCGTATCAGATCCAAATAGTCTGCTGACTTGAAGTGAGCCGAATGCAGATCCACCAACCCATCGCAGCTGAGTGCCGATAAGTCTTCCGTATGCACCCGCGACAGAGCGTCCGGAACAATATTTTGGCTACCTTTGCGATGGAAAATTTTAAAATCAAACCCTTGTAATTTGAGGGCCCATCTTGCTAATCTAGAGCTTAAATCCGTTTGCGACATTAGCCACTTTAAAGAAGCATGGTCGGTATGGATGGAGAATTCATGACCTTCTACATACGCTCGAAACTTCTTCACACACATTGTAGCTGCCAAACACTCCTTCTCAGTGACGGAATAGTTTCGCTGACACTGATTCAGCTTGCGCGACATGAATGCGATTGGGACGTCATTACCATTGCTATCAGTTTGCATTAACACGCCCGGGCGGCAAATGGAATTTTAAAGTTAGGGCTATGTAGAACTGGAGCCCCGCACATTTGGTCTTTTAACGATTCAAAAGCCTTTTGTGCCTCGTCGGACCACACAAACGTTCGACGTTGCTTTAGCGTATCAGATATTGGGGCAGCAATGCCTGCATAATTTTTAATAAATTTATGGTACCAACCGGTGGTTCCCAAAAATCTCCGCACTTGCTTCACCGATCGAGGCACTGGAAAATTTCGAATAGCCTCTACTTTTTCTGGATCGGTTTGTATCGTCCCATACCCTATAACATGACCTAGATATTTGACTTCCTTCAGACAAAATTTGCTTTTCTCGACATTTATTGTAAGTCCAGCTAGTGACAACCGGTTGGCCAGCACTTTCAACACGGAGATATGCTTCTCAAATGACTCCGAAATTACCAATAAGTCATCGAGATAAATGAAGATCTCATTTCGCAACGAAGGCGGGATGACTTTATCCATAAGTTTGGACATGGTCTGCGGTGCATTGGATAAACCAAAAGGCATCACCGTGAATTGATATAGCGGCCTTCCCGGCACCGTAAAGGCAGTCTTCTCACGGGCCCTTGGGGTCAGCGAAATTTGCCAGTACGCATCTTTAAGGTCAATGCTCGAAATGAACTGTGCTTTCGGGAGTCTACTTAATATGCCTTCGATGAGGGGCATAGGGTAAGCGTTTTTTACGGTCACTTCGTTCACTTTACGACTATCGAGGCAAAGGCGAACTTTACCTGGCTTACGCACAATCACGACAGGAGAAGACCACGGACTCTTCAATCACGCCAAGGGCTAACATCCGGTCTAACTCTTCGTACATACATTTCTCGATGGCAGGCGACACGGCATAATGCCGTTGTTTTATGGGCCGTGCCTCAGAAACGTCTATATCATGACTAAGCCAGCTTGTCTTTCCTAACCCTTTTTGGGCAAATGAAGGAAACACCTGTACGGTCGCAGCTAGTTCCTTTCGTTGTATTTCCGACAACGGTATTTGCGTCGGGCTATCTAACTCTAGCGCTGCTAAATTGGGAGTATTTGCTTTGCTCATCAAAAAGAACGGCAGCAAATTGAAGCTTCTCCAAAAGTCTATTCCTAGATACAACTCTTGCGATAACGCTGGAACCAGATAGAGGCATATGCGTTTTGAATCTCCCCGAAACACAATTGTGGTTGAGATCCTGCCTAATATGGCTTGGTTTTTTCCATCTGCAGTTCTCACCGCTGACTTCATCGGCCTGACCTCCTCGTTATTTTTAGCTACCTCTTCTGCAAATTTACCACCAATACAGCTGATGGAGGCGCCAGTATCCAGTAAGCCACTTATGGTCCTCCCAAACAGTGTAACATCGGCAAAGGGGCGTAAATCGTTTATATTATTTATAACCGACGCTAATATGGCTCTTCGGTTTTCTTTACTCTGCGTACGGAATCGATCTCTACGCTGCTGGTTTCGCGATTTAGACATAGTTGTTTGGCCAGGAGCAGGGGTCTTTTTTTGTTTGTCCTTCAGAAGGAGTATATTGGGGGTTATTGTTCTGTCCTGGGGTTTTGGGAGTAAGCTTGAAGTAGCCCATGTTACTCCGTGTTTGTCGCTTTCGACATTAGCTTTTGTGCACTCGTTACCGGTGCACGAGTCAGCTGGTTTTTTGACGAGCTACATTTTCGGCACGACGGTTTATATGTGTCCCGCTTACAACATCCATAGCAGAACACTTTACGCTCGGCTTCGCACTCCTGATAACGGTGGCCATGCTTGTTGCAATTCCAGCAGGAAAGAGTAATCGCTTCGATATCCAACGCGTCAGTCTCTTCCAACTCGGGTTCTGCATGACCCTCGGTTTGCACGGACATTTCGTTCACCTGATTACGCGGAACGTATCGTCGAACTGACGGAATTGGCTTAGACGTGGTTTCCATAAACCTTTCACGCTTGCGCACCACTTGTCGCAGCTGCACAATGTTCTGTATCTGAACATATAAAATCTCGTGTTGCACGTCATTTAACAAGTTTGCGCGTAATACCTCCAGCAAGGACTGCTCCGACATGGGCTGCACAAGTTTATCGGCGAGAGCCACTATGCCTTCATAAAAACTGTCAAAAGATTCGTTCGGTTTCTGTTTCCTTTTTGCAATATCGGTTCTTATTTCTAAGTCAGTGCGGCCATCCGAAAACTGCGATCTCAGTGCTATACACAGATCAACCCAGCGTACTCTTGGTACGCTTTTATGATACCTCCAGTACCATTCACCCGCAGTCCCTTCGAACAGATTACTAGCGTAACGAGATAACAACTCGAAATTGTTATCTAATGTCTGGCTGGTAAGGGCTTCGACGCGATAAAGAAAATCATCTATTGACATAGATGAACGTCCTGAGAATCTCAACTTCCAGTTAGCGATTATCTGGCTTATCCTATCCGGACGCAAATGCTGTGATTGTTGCGACTCAGGCGGATGGGACCAATTACTTGGTCGATCGGACGCTGGATTTTGCAGCTCGGTGTTTTCCCTGCTGGATAATCTAAACAGTTGCTCAAAAGATTGATTCTGCCTAACAGGAGAAGACTGCCTATGGACTGGTTGTACCCTTTCCGTCGTAGCTGGACCTGGTGTCTGGAGCGACATTCTTTGAAATCCAGCTTCAATCGCATTTGACAACATTTGCGTATGCTGTGCCAGTGCCGCAGCTACTGCTTCCGCAATGGTTCGATGCAGGTTACCATCGAGGGTTCCCGGATCAGGTCGGGCGGTAGAGCTAGCCGAAGCTAGTGCGACAGCCGGAATTTGCGGTTGCCTTCGTGGCAGATCTGGACCTGACGTTGGCCCTGAACAACTAGGACCTTCTGGCTGACTAACACTTCGAGCCCCGCTTTGCATCTTGCTAGCAGCTAATTGGCCTTGCTGTGATTTAACCGTTTTCGATCGTGATCTAGTCATTGAAGCTGGTCCTGGTTGCGAGCCTAACGCTTGGGCTGCAGCTAGTTCTTCTGCCAAATTGAGAGTCGATTTACTCAACGCCGTTCTACACACGGGACAGACTTCTCTATTTCCTGGGAGAGTGCTAAAGCAGGAGTGATGGAAATAGTGGTTACAGCTAGTTGCTAACAATTGACCGGGATATGCCACTTCTTGCGTACATACACAACAAACGGTTTCGCTACCCTGGCGCTGATGACTATAAGCCGGGCTTCTATCTACCGGCATCCTAACTTTATACTATTTATACCTTAGCTTAACGCAAATTCTCGTACCTATATACGAAGAAAAACAATAATACAGACAAGCTCGAAAACACAAGAATATTTCTTTGATAAATTTGGGAAACCATGCAACCCTTTCCTGAAGAAACGGATGCCAATAGCTATTTGTGGTAGATTAAAAAAAGAAGGGCAAGAAATGATATAGACATCGATTCAGATATTGCGGCACAAGTAGTAGCTCTAGGCCACACCCTGTTTCCGCCGAATACCTAATCCTAGGGAAAGACAACTTCCTTACACTCGTGTCCACCCAGAGATCACGACGGTGCACGTCAGCCGCCCATCGAGGAAACATTAGCGGAAGTGGTTTAAAGGGACAGTGTAAATGTTTCACTATGCCCAGATCTATACCTTTGAGCAGTAGCTATCGTTCCAGAAAAAAACGTAGCCTGAAGAAACGCACCAGCAAACAAAAAGGTACCACGTTCTTTCGGCAATAGCTTGCAGCATATATCTCAGCACCAGTGCGACACTTACTAGAAAGCAGGATACAGACAGCGATACGTTCATAACCCCGTCTCCAGTGAAGCGGCAGCCAAAAGTATTACTCCTTTTAGCTGACTCCGGCGACACTGAACCAAAGCTACCTAACGCACCCGTTAATTTCCAAAGTACACTGGGAAATGTATTCATCAATTCAGTTTCTGTTTCGCGGCAGGTCGTAGCTTTAATCCACGAAAAACCCTGAATCCAGCAACACTTCACCGCTTGATAAATTCATCGGGATTTCGATGCTCTGGCATAAAGTGTCCGGCAATAAAGCTATGTTGAAGCTAGTATTGATCCCAGAACAGCTTACCATCGCACCGGTGGTATGGACGCTACTAAGATGCGGCTTAAAGTTATCTGAAACTCATAAGCATCCATCATCAAAGCATCTAACACCAGGACACAGGAAGGGGATTGGAGGAGGAAGTGGAAGTAGGGACAAAAGTCGTAAGCTTGTGCATGAACATGCATGGCTTGTAGGTGTTATCGACTACGTAACATTCGAGGTAGAGTTTGCCTAGGACAACCTAACAACATATTAGGTTATCCCGTTTTGTATTGCTAACCAGCTTACATTGACGCTAACTCTGCCTTCGGGCCTGTCGGGCCCCACGTTGGGCGCCAAATAAAATAATAATTCTGTAACGATTAACGAAGAGAATCCTCGGGCAATGAAGTGGGTGGTCGACAATGTTGGAAGGAGTACGCGCTTGCTCCTACGGCTCGTCTCTGGTCGGCTATGGGTATGGGTTCTTGTGGAGGAACCTTCCAATTGTGTGCTTCGTTCCTGCAGTTTACTATTCTATTAACTTCGCGTACTGCGTTTACGGTATAGGGAGGGCGGAGGAAAGGCAGGGGAAGGAATGGTAGGGAGCCGGTGCACGGGCTATTATATAAAAGAGAAAAATAGGATAGAAAAAGAAGGGAGAGGGTTCTACCTACGCTTCGGACAACTCTGCTGGCACTGAGTTGTGCCACGCCCACCCTACCATGATCCTGATGAGCCGAGGTAACTAATATCAGGATCCCTGGAGTGTCCGGTGTCGGCTATCCTTCTTCGCTCCACGGCAGCATGGTTCCCCAACTGGCGTACCTTTTAGCACATAGTTAAATTAACAAACAATTTATTAACAGCTAACTCCATTATCATTCAGGCAAACTAAAGCGTAAGCTAACAGGAATAAGAACAACACAACTGGGGGCTAGCATAGGGTCTCGGTCGAGAGGTATATATATACTTAAGATATTTATATAAATATAAAGATATAGGTATAAATAGGTGTGATTACAAACACTTCGATATAGTGCGATATAAATTAATTATTTTTCCCTAAATAGAAAACATAAAATTATAGGGCATTATACGGTCGTAAGTCGAACGACTTCCGCCAACAGCATCGGGCATCAGATATTAGTGCATGCAAGCAGTCAAATCAGCTGTGGTTAATTTAAAAGTTTGAGGTCAACGACCCACGAACAGCGCTAGCAAAAGGGAAGCTTTTGGCAGCGATCGCGGAGTTGGCATATGCAGATAAATGTAATAGGGAAAGCTCACTTACAGTGTGTTGGTTTGCTTGGTTGCTCCCGCGCCGAAAGATCTTTCGTAGCTGGGGTGTCTCTGTGTTAGTGAGATTATGACGCTTTTATCTGAAAAACCAAAAAAAACCAATCTGCGCACCTGGTGCTGCCTGGCAATAACTCACTGTTAGGAAACTGTCGCGTGGACGCTTTAAAGCTCGAACTTTTAAAGCCACTTTCAAAATAATTAGAACAATGTTTGTTTTTCTTTTCGTTCGTTTTGGGTTTGACTTTACATTATAATGGCTTTGTCCACTTGTCTACCCAAAAGAACCAACAAAAATTACTGCGCGGGTCCAAGGAATTCAGGCCGCGATATACACTAAATCTGCCTCCGATGGTGTCGACGAACTATATGTATGTGTGCGCCTCTCGTTGGAGCTGCTTTCACAAGTTAGCCTACCCTAGCAACTATCACACAAACCGACATAACGTAAAACACAAATTATTACTGACTAAACCGTTAACT